CGATGCGGCTCATGGTCAAGTTGGTGCAGTCCCGGGTGTAACCCGGCTTGGTGTGGTCAATGGCTTTTGCATCGGGCTCAATCGCCCGTCTTTGTTCCTACGAGTGCCTCCCAGGAGCCGCCTCCCAACCGCGTGGCATGGATGCTCCGCACGCGTGCCGAAGATCGCTGGAACCCCTGGCGGTGCCGCCCCTGGCGCGCCCCGCGCGCCAGCGAGGGGGGGCCCAGCGCAGATCCAAGAAACCCGCGCGGACCTCCGAAAAGTTGCGTCACTGCTCTCTTGAGCAGCGGAAAACTCTCCAAGGCAAAAAGTTGTGTGCGACAGATCCGGCTCTGAACCAAACCTCCAGGTCGGGTTGGCATGTCGCCGCCGCGGCGATCGTGGCGGCCACACATCAGAGCAATGTTTTTTTCTGTAAAAAAAGGATTGGCATGCTCCTTCCCAGCTCCCCGCTGAGCGATATGGACGTGGCGCAGAGTCAACGATATAGCGACAGAGCTGTCAAATTGTGTCCAACATGTGCAGTCATGCTTTCTCTCATCCGGGGCCGACCATCACGCAACCCAAATCGGCGGCGAGCGAGGGGGGGGCAGTGAGAAGGAGAAGGCCGTCTCAGGTGGCGGCGGGATTTCTCATAAGCCCTCGCGCCTTCTGAGAGGTTTTCCATGTCTTCGGGGAGGGTTTATGAGACTTCTGAGAAGGCCAGAGAACTTCCGAGCCTTCTGAGACGGCCTTCTCTTTCTCATTTTCGCCTCCTCGCCCGCCGCCGACCGAAGCCTTGAGAGCGCTCCCTTCTATTGACCCCTCCGCCAGCATCCCCCCGAAGCGGCGCGGCCAGGAGCAGGAGCGACACCTGTCGGTCGCGCGGGAGCTCGAGCAGGCCAGCCCGCCGCAGCCCGCCCCCGGCTCTCGTCCACGGTGTCTTGGGGCGTCCTCGGACCAGGCTCTTTCGGCAGCGACCGCAGTTCGGGTCGGTGCGATCGTAACGGGTACGGACAAGAATGGGGACGCCGTTGTCTGCGTCGCCGCGGCCGACGTCCATTTGGGGCAGAATGGCGATTGTCCCACATCCGCTGTTGGGCATCGTGCCAATTTTGCTCCGTACCCATGTAAGGATTCCATCCCCAGCCCCCCAACTTTCGGATGCAGTCCTTGGGAGTTCAGGTTCAATTCAGAATCGGGGCGTTGGCATACACTTGGTCGGAAACCAGCCTAATTTGGTTTCGCCTAGCCCAGCTATTCCTGTTTCCCGGCGGAGGCCGGTCAAATTCCGTGCCCGCCGGTGACTGACTGACTGAATGATTAAATGTCAAGAAGGCGCCTTGAACAACACATTTCAAACCGCCCGCGGGCGCGCAACCGCAACGACGCGACACATTTCGACCCGTCCGCGGGCGCGCAACAGCAACCGCAATTGGGCGACACATTTCGACCCGCCCGCGGGCGCGCAACCGCAACCGCACCGGGGCGACACATTTCACCCCGCCCGCAGGCGCGCAACCGCAACTGGGAGACACATTTCAAACCGCCCGCGGGCGCGCAACCGCAACCGCAACTGGGCGACACATTTCGACCCGCCCGCGGGCGCGCAACCGCAACCGCACCTGGACGAAACATTTCAACCCGCCCGCGAGCGCGCAACCGCAACCGCAACTGGGCGCCACATTTCGACCCGTCCGCGGGCGCGCAACAGCAACCGCAATGGGGCGAAACATTTCAAACCGCCCGTGGGCGCGCAAACCGCAACCGCACCTGGGCGACACATTTCACCCCGCCCGCGGCGCGCAACCGCAATTGGGCGACACATTTCAACCCGCCCGCGGGCGCGCAACCGTAGCCGCAGCGACGCGACACAGTTCGACCCGTCCGCGGGCGCGCAACCGCAACCGCACCTGGAAGACACATTTCAAACCGCCCGCGGGCGCGCAACCGCAACCGCACCTGGGCGTCACATTTCGGCCCGTCCGCGGGCGCGCAACCGCAACCGCAACTGGGCGCCACATTTCGACCCGCCCGCGGGCGCGCAACAGCAACCGCAACTGGGCGACACATTTCGACCCGACCGCGGGCGCGCAACCGCAACCGCAACTGGGCGATACATTTCACCCCGCCCGCGGACGCGCAGCCGCAATTGGGCGACACATTTCAGACCGCCCGCAGGCGCGCAACCCCAACCGCAACAACGCGACACATTTCGACCCGCCCGCGCGCGCAACCGCAACCGCACCTGGGCGACACATTTCAAACCGCCCGCGGGCGCGCAACCGCAACCGCAACCGGGCAAGGGGGAGGAGGTCGATGGGGAGGGGGATGCCAGGGTGGTGCTGCTTGAGAAGGTGCACGAGCCGGTGCTTGTTGCGGATGATGGAGGAGGATGAGGTGGTGGACGTCAAGGAGGAGATTGGCGTGGAGGTGGATGTCCTCCTCGCGGCCTCAAGGCTTGACCCGCGGTTCTCCGCCGGGACACTGCAGCGGGGAATCCCCATTCCACGCTGCTGCCTTTGATTTATCTAGTCGAATCCCGTTTGATCCGGTTGAATCCCAGATTTAGTTCAGCCTTTTTTGGCCCAGTGGCTTTTCAATCGGGCTTAACAGCCCGCTGTCATGCTGACGAGGACTTCCCAGGAGTTGACTTCTGACAAACGGTGCGGTGACCACACCGTGTGGTGAATCAGGTGGGATTCGGGTTCACTACACGGTGTTGGGACTGGGGTCGTTTGGGGCTTCAAGTGTCATAGCGCAGTGCGGTGGTGGACCGTGCGGTGAGGTCTTTCGGTGGGTTCCGAGGTACCGCGCGGTCTGTCACCGCGCCGTTTCGGAACCAGTACCAGGTTCCTCGAGCAGCGAGTGTTGTGAGCCGAGCGAGAAAGAATGGCACGCACATACATGTTTTACGATCCGCACGGATTTCCTACGCTGGACCCCACTCCTTGGCGAGCTCCGCGTGCCAGGGGCGGCGCCGGAGGCGCCGCCGGGGTTGGGCCAGCGCAGATCCCAGGAATCCGCGCGGAGCGTCGAGTTATTTATGCAGCAGGCGTTTTTCCCTTTTGTAGAAAATGGCCCAACTCGTGTAATAATATCAGGTTATGTGGCCTCTCGGGCCTGCCCCCGGGGCCCCGAAGGCGGCCCCATATACCCTCACAGAGAGCGCCAAGGCAGCTTTTTGCAGGCCATTTTGGAGCGCGTTGAGGGCGCCGTCAAAAATTGAATTCAAGTCCGCGTTGAGCGCAGGACGGTTTCCGGTTTTTGCGGTCGTCCCTGATTTCTAGGTCATGGAGCCTATTCGTGGCCGAGGTTCGCCGTGGCCACGACAGCCTTTCCGTTCATTAGTTGGCGTTTCTTGTGACACGCAGCACGATGACTGTAAGGACTCCCGGCCCAGTTCCTGCGCTTCGCAAAGAGCCACTGGGCCCTGGAAGACACGGAGATTCCCAGGTGAACGCGGAAATCGAGGGCCCACAATTCTTGGAAACCCGACCTCTTTTCTCAGGAGCGAGTCCGAAGGCTTGAGGGCACTGAGCCGCGTGCTGGAGGCAGGGTGGCGGATATTACTGATGCGGAATTGCCCGTGAGAGGATAGGGCGCAGGATAAGCAAACGTCGCAGCCACGGCGCGAGCAGCGCCTGCGCTGAGTGCGGTTCGTAGCGATGGTGGTTAGAGCATTCGCCCCTCCCCGCAGGCCTCGTTTTCGCCTGTCGGAGACGGGGTGGTAGGCGAGAAGCGGGGGGGCAGATTCGAGAAGGGGCGGGGAGCGGGGGAGGAGGTGGTGGAGGAGGAGGAGGAGGAAGAATGGTCTCAGATAGGAAGAGGTTGCCTCCTCCTCCCTTAGTCCTCCTCCTCCTCGTCCTGGGCACTGCGGGCTCTGGCGCTTCATGAAGCGCAGCCCTCCGTCCTCCTCCCCCTCCTCCCTCATCCTCCGCGCGGTCGCCCGCTCTCGCTCGTCCCTGGTGGCGCTCGCGTGGACGCTGCAGAGTCGTGTCGAGCGCGCGTCAGTCGGTCAAAAGGGGAAGATTGAGGAGGAGGAGGCGGAGGAGGAGGAGGACCTAAAGTGACCATTTGGACCCCCCCGAGCACCCAGAAAGTTTCGTACTGTTTGTTGTAGTGGAGTCTCAACCTTCTCGGGCGAGCCGTTTCAGACCCCCCCCCCTGTCTGGGGATGCTCTTGTCAAGAAATCCCCCCAAACAGCCACCCTCGCCGACGCCGCCGCCCTTCTCCTCTCCCTTTTCCATCTCCTTGTCCTTTCCAGCCTTGGCGATTTTGCATTTTCTTCAGCATCAATCAGGGGTAACGTCAAGGGGGGGGATGGGCTGAGGGGGGGGCATCGACCCCCGCTCGCCCGCTCATCGCCGATACGGGCCCGATCGCCCACCCCGCCCAGGAACGTACGAACTCGCCATCGGGGGCATCGCCGATTCCAGCTCGATGTTTTCTCCCCCAGCCTCGCCCCTCAAGAACCGGAGAACGGTGAGGCTCGAGGTTGTCGGAATACGGGTCTGCCGAAGCTCTTCGGTGGGCCCGCGCTGAGTTTTGACTGTCCGGTTTTCGTGGGATGTCTGCAGCGGGAGATCGCGTCAGATCTCAGTATCGCTCAACCGACTTCAATCCCCATCCTCATCCAAACCCCCACGATCTCGGCTCTCGAGTTGGAATATACCCTTCGAAGCCCGAAGGGGCTGGCCTATATCCCCATCTAGCGGGGTAAATCGGCCAGTGTGGCTCAGGCCACGCCGCGGTGGATACAGTCGGCCCGTATCATAAGGATGCGCGAGGGTGGCGGCCAACCAAAGTGGCGAAGGATGGACCGAGGAGGCAAGGATACAAGGGTACCCTTGGGAAGGTTGCCCATCTTTGCTATGCTGGCGGACTGTAGGGGTCGATTAAAAGATGCTCACTGACGGCCCCATCTGGTCAGCTCGAGCCCGCCAAGCTCGAGCCTGATCGGACGGGGCTAGGACGAGGATGAATCCGTAATCCGTTCCAGAGCATTCCAGAACGCTCTCAGAGCATTCTGGAACGCTCTCGCGCCCGAGACATCCTCCAGAGCCGCTGGATCTCGGAGATTCGATCTGAGGTTCCCATCGCCACTGCTTGATTCGACTCGACAAACGGGTTAAAGCGCACCCTAGGAGAGGTCCAGGGAATAGCTGTACAATGGAAACCCATGCCAAGAAACACCGTGTTTGCTTCTTGGGTTTCGATGGTTTTACGATGGAAAGCGTGACGTTCCCACACCAAAAATCAATGGACGTCCTGGGGTCTCAGAGATGAGTTTATTGTGGAAGGTTCCCACGGCCTGGGGCAGAATGTGTGCACCAGGAATGAAGATGGCCTCACGCTGCTTCGCAACGTCGGCCATGGGCAGGCCGTGCCACCCTGAGAGGGAGCGAGAGAGGAGGGGAGAAGCAGGCAGGCGACAACGAACGCGCAGGCGGGGGGCCAGGGCCGGCGGGACGAGGGCAGGCGGGAGGGGGACAAACAGATGGTAGCAGGTAGGGAGCAGAAGGAACGGGAAGAGGAGGAGGAGGAGGACGAAGAGGAGGACAAGGAGGACGAGGAAGACGAGGAGGAGGAGGAGAAGAAGGAGGAGGAGGAAAGCAGCGACCGCAAGCAGACAGGCCGTGCCAGGGGCCGGAAGAGAAGAACCATCCGCGACGAGGTTACGGACCCTACGGCGGCGACCTGAGCGGGGTGGCCGCCCGAGCCCAGCACGATGCGGCTTGGTGGGGATTGCCCTCTGCGGGATCCAACCACCGCCCCGCCGAGGAAGGGCCGGACGGCGCGTGGGAGGGTCGCCAGCGCGACGTTGGCGAAAGGGCGCGGGGGGGGCCCGTGCTGCCCAGCAAGGGCGGGGGGGGTGGGCGGGGGGCGCTAGACAGCGCCGGGGGCACCTCACACGGCGTTTGCCGTGGAAGCCGCCGTGGCTGCGGCCAGGCGGGCTGCTGCCACCCCCGCCCTTCCAGACTGGGTCTGGAGGCGCCGCAACACCGCCTGTACAGGGAGACGGAAAATCGCCGGGCATGTTGGTCCGCAACCTGCGCGGCGTCTTCCCCAGCGGCGTCAGCCACCCGCTTGACCAGGACCCCGAAGTCCCTGCGTGCCCTGCGACCCCACCCGCCGCCGTGGGTTTCCACCACCACGGGTAGCTGCTCCTACTGCACCGGTAGCTGCTGGTTTCCCCGGATGGGTGCCAGGGCGCATATCGGGCCGAACGAAAGGAGGGGATAGGGGAATGGGGTGTACGAAATCTGCTGCATGCAGCTGGTCTCGGCCCCGCCGCCAGGCCCCTGCCTCGATACACGGGCGCCTCATAGCGCCGGGAGGCGCCTGGAAAATCAGCTACGCGAGCTGATTCTCAAACCCCCTTTTTGCTATCCCCCCCTTTCGCCCGGCCCGAGCATAGGGGTTTGCCTCCTGCTCTGGTGTGGATGGCTCCTCCCGCGCGGTGATCAGTGGCCCCGGCCGTGGAGGTCGGCGGGCAGCGGCTTCGAGCAGCGTGTTTTCCTTTTTCGGGTTCTCCATAAGAAACAAAAGAAACGTCCTGATTTTGAATTCCTCTGAAACGCTTTTCGAATTCAGAAAAATCCTCTTCGTCCCTGGGCGAGAGCGGAGGGGGTTCCCCCCCGCCGAAGCTCGACGGCACCTTATGATCAGGCTTGGCAGTCCGCACGATGGCGCCTCCCAGGAGCTGCCTCTTGAAAGCCTCCTCGTTCTGGAGGAGGGCGGGGCGACAGGGAAAAGACAGCTCCCCCCCTCTAGAAATTCGGCGGCCCCTCGTGGTCGAGCTTGGCAACCCTTACTCGTCCTCGCGAAGACCTCCCAGAAGCCGCCTCCGAAAATTTCCCTCGCTCTTCCTGGAAGAGGACGAGGAGGAGGAGGACGAGGACGAGGAGGAGGAGGAGGCGGATAGGGGGCAACGGCGAACAGAGACCGGAGGCGAACGAGGGGGGAAGGGAGAAGGAGAAGGCCCAACCGGAAAGGGAGCGGGGTTTTTTTCTCAGAGGCCCTCGGGCCTTCTGAGAGATTTTTGGGTGTCTTGGGGGAAGTCTCGGGAACCTTTTCAGGGGGCAGGTGGACTGGCAAGCCCCCTTCTCGTTCCCCCCTTTCTCGCTCGCCGCCGAAGAGAGTCGACGCGCGCCGCCGGGGAGAGCCAGGCGCAGGAGCGGCGGCAGGCCGTGGCGCGGGAGCTCGAGCAGGCCCGCCGCGCCGCGGCCCTTCGCCCCTCCCACCGGGGCCCCTCTGGGGGGCCGGGCGGGCTCCACCGGAAGCGGAGGGGTCGGGCGGACGGGCCTCGGGGGCAACGTCAGAGAGGGGGTTAGGCACAGGGGGGGCTGCCCCGACTCTTCCTCCTCCTCCTTTTCCTCCTCCTTTTCCCCCTCCTTTTCTTCCTCCTCCTCCTCCTCCTCCTCCTCCTCCTCCCCCTCCTCCTCCTCTTCCCCCCTCCTCCTCCTCCTCCTCCTCCTCCTCCTCCTCCTCCTCCTCCTCCTCCTCCTCCTCCTCCTCCTCCCCTCCTCCTACTCCTCCTCCTCCTCCTCCTCTCCTCCTCCTCCTCTCCTCCTCCTCCTCCTCCTCCTCCTCCTCCCTCCTCCTCCTCCTCCTCCTCCTCCTCCTCCTCCCCCTCCTTTTCCTCCTCCTCCTCCTCCTCCTCCTCCTCCTCCTCCTCCTCCTCCTCCTCCCCTCCTTCTCCTCCTCCTCTCCTCCTCCTCCTCCTCCTCCTCCTCCTCCTCCTCCTCCTCCCTTCATCCCCCCCTCTTCCTCCTCCTCCCTCCTCCTCCTCCTCCTCCGCCTCCTCCTCCGCCTCCTCCTCTTCCTCCTTCTCCTCCTCCACCTCCTCCTCCTCCTCCTCCTCCTCTCCTCTCCTCCTCCTCCTCCTCCTCCTCCTCCTCCTCCTCCTCGTCCTCCTCCTCCTCCTCCTCCTCCTCGTCCTCGTCCTCCTCCTCCTCCTCCTCCTCCTCCTCCTCCTCCTCCTCCTCCTCCTCGTCCTCCTCCTCCTCCCACAATTGCCCATCGACCGCCGACAGGGCCTCGATAGCCCCAACCTGCCCAGCCGTGTGCGGATTCACCTTTCGGGGGCCGGCTATCGCCGATGCATCGGCGATGTGTCGCCGATTCCAGGCCGTTGTTTCCCCCGCTATGCCAGTCCCACCCCCTATTGCTGCCCCTCAGGACCCAAACAGGCGGGACGGGGCTCGAGACTTTCGTACGTTTGCCTTGACGCTCGTGAATCGCTCCAAAACACAGTTTCTGGTACGTGAACCATGGGAATCAGCGAAACGCTTGATGAATGTGTGAGGCGCTAGGGCGAGAGCCACATTTCGAAAAGGAACCGCCCTCAATCCGTGAAGCTCGTTTTTGTTTTAGAACGAATGCGTGCGGCGCTAAGGCGAGGGTTACATGTTGAATGGGATCCGCCATCAATTCGTGAAGCACCTGCACATGTTTGAAAGGAGTGCTCGCGGCGCTGAGGCGAGGGCCACCTTCTGAAAAAGAGCCGCCCTTAGTCAGCAAAACACCTGCAATATGTTACAACGAGTGTGCGCGGCGCCCAGTCGAGAGCCACATGTTGAATACGAACTGCCTTAAGCACGTGAAGCTCTTGCAAAGGCTTAAATCGATTGCGCGCAGCTCTCAGGCTACAGCCACATTTTGGAAGCGGCCCGCCCTCCACCTGTGAAACTGTTGCCAGTTGTTAGGCTTGAGGCTCGTACGTTGTAAGGAAATATCAGACGAAATGCCTGGCCCGCGCTCCCGACTGGCCTCTGGGTGGGACAGGGAGGTGCCACTCAGAAGGGGAGGAACAGCGAGCCGAGGAGGGAGGAGGAGACTCGCCTCGCACGGGAGGAGGAGGAGGAGGAGGAGGAGGAGGAGGAGGAGGGGGGAGGAGAGAGGAGGGGAGGAGGGGGAGGAGGAGGAGGAGGAGGAGGAGGAGGAGGAGGAGGAGGAGGAGAGGAGGAGGGAAGGAGGGAGGAGGAGGAGGGAGAGGGGGAGGAGGGGGAGGGGGAGGAGGAGGAGGAGGAGGAGGGAGGAGGGGGAGGAGGAGGGGGAGGAGGAGGGGGAGGAGGAGGAAGGGAGGAGGAGACTCGCCTCGCACGTTCTTCACCCGCGCGCCGCGCGCGGTCGGCAGTGCACAGAGTGCCCTGTGACCACTGGGCCGCGTCTCTGCGGGCGCCTCCGCACGGGCGAAAAGGATCGGAGGGAGGGCCCTGTCGAGACAGCCGCGCTCTCCGTCCTTGCCGGGGGCCTCCCGGAGCTCAGGCCTCCCAGGTGGGGTCAAAAAACACACACGCACACTCGCACACACACACACACACAAACACTGTGTGTGTTTTTGTTCCCACAGTGTGTTTTTGTTCCCACAGTGTGTTTTTGTTCCCTTCGCGGGCCTGGAGATTGACACCAACACCAATATCGTCGGTGTGCCTCCACCGATGGAAGAAGATCCCGATCTCGGTGATGGTGGCAATACTCTGGCTTCCAAGGTGGCCGGAATATTACCACCAACACCGAAATCTAGGATCATCTCCCCCCTGTGGCAAAAAGCCCCCTAGGTTGGTGTTGGTGTCCATTTCCAGGCCTCCAACTCCTGGAGTTCAGGTTTCCCAGGTGGGGTCCGAGTCGAATGGGTCGGAGGATCGCGCCGTGTCGGCGGTGCAGCGGCGGCCCAATGTGGAGCCCGATGTTCTCCACGCCGACGGCGGCGACGCATTGGCGATGCGGCGCGGTCGCCCTCGCGGATCGATGCAGCTCGAGACCGGGGCTCCAGCCGTGATCTTCGTGCTCGTGATGGCGGATCTCGGGGCCGGAGGTTTTTTTTTTTCACCGCGTTCGGCCGCCAGGGGCCCTCTGCGGGGGCCCCAGGGCTGTCAAGAGATTGGCCAAGGGTGGAGGACCGGTCTCAGGGAGAGGTCCCTGGGTCCAGGGCCGGTGTTCTTCCTCAGCGGCGCCGTAACGGGTACTCACTAACGGGTACTTTTGAAAATTGCCGAAAGTTGCCACTTTAGGGCCTCTTTGTGGCATTGCAGCGTTGCCCACATCGGAGAGGGTTAGGTTCGCAGGGTCACTGGCCAAAGTACCCGTTAGTGGAGTCCCCGTTAGAGGGGCGCTGTTCTTCCAGACCTGTTTGCTTGGTGCCAAGAGGAGTGGAGAGTCGCGCAGGTCGTCGGCTCAAGCGTCGGGGGCCGCGGCGGTCGCCGTGGGCGGTTGCCGCAGCGGCACGGTGCTGCCCTTAGCCGGGGTGCGCGGCCAATCTTGGTTCTTCGCTCTCCTCCAGCGCCTCCTGTCGCGGAGATAGCTGCAGTTCTGCACTGATGTAGCGTGGATCTTCCTGACGTGTTTTCAGCTATCTATTGGCTCTAAGTTTTGACCTTGCAGCACACGCGCATCAGGTGCACTGTCTAAGAGAGAATCCCGCCGTAAAGTGCCCTCTCTTCGCCCTCAGGCCCCCCGTCCTCCTCGTATTCCCTCCCCTTGTTCACACTGCATCCTCGGCTGCATTCCAACATTGACTCTCCTCGTTACCATCTTCCCCAGAAATTCGCTCAGTGCTGTTCGTCATGCGCAAAAATAGCGCTGGCGACGGGCAATGTGCAATGTTGGCATCGTTCGCTGTCGGGCTCCCTGCCTCAAATGCCGCCTCAAGCCTGACCAGCCCACTCCCGCTTGCGGCCCGTGCTGATACGCGAGCACGGTGGGCCGCTATAGCTCGGTCCGCGAGTGGGCCCTCGCCTTCTCCCTGGTGGCGTTGCATTGCAGAGGCTTCTGCCTACAATTCCCCCGAAAAACTGGATGGAACGGTTCAGTTATCCTCCTCCTCCTCCTCCTCCTCCTCCTCCTCCTCCTCCTCCTCCTGGCTGGCCCCAGGAATTGCGCTCGGCTGCCACCCCCGCCAGCACTGGAGGGGGGCAGGGGGGCCACGGTCCACGTGGCCTCGATGCACCTCGCAGCGATCCGAAGAATGTTACACGACCTCATGCTTGCTTCATCGTTTTTTTTTTTTCCCCGGGAGGGTGGCAGTGCCCGACGGCTCCAGAGAGTGGCCGCCGTGGGGGGCGCCAGCCACGCCCAGGGAGACCGGCGGCGCCGCCGCGTGCAGCCCGCGGGGATCGGCAGGACACATCGGGAAGGCTCTCTCGACTGGGTAGTCGAAGGCCAGACTGTCAGACTGGATAGGGCCCCAAGGGCCAATCTGGCCTGGCCATATTGGAGGAGTTGGGTTATTCGCCAGACTGGATTCGCGTTGGCTCCCTCGCCAGATTGCCCCCGTTTGCCAGACTGGGCCTGCCAGGTTGGCGCCAGATTGGCTTCGACTACCCAGCTCGACGGCGCCGTGGACGCGGCGGAGCAATTTGTGCGCGCCGCCCGTGCTGCGACTCGGTCAGGGTCGTTCGTTGCCGCGGCGAGCCCAGGGCCAACCACTGCCGGCAAGCGCGGGGGCGGCAGTGTGCCATACCAGGGGGGATACAGGTGGTGGGTGCCCGCGCCAGCAAGGAGAGGACAAGGCAAGGCGGGCGAAGCCGCAGGCGGGCATTCCACAGACAGAACTCGGCGAAGCAGCCAGGCGGCGCGGTGGCGGCGATGGAAGGACCCATGGCCAGGCTCGGGACGCAACCGCCGCCCGCCAGTTCAAAGAGGCGCAGCGGGCAACCAAGCAACGCCAGCAAAATTGTCCCAGGCGTCGCAATACTAGTCGCAGCTACGAGCTGAAAGGCAACGTTTGGGCCGTTGCAGCGAGTGGCATTGCGCGTGCAGCGCGCTGTCCGGCCAGTCCATGTCGGGCTCCCGCGGGTCAGCCAGCGCGGCGATGAGGCTCTCGTTGGCCCACTTACACCTGGCCTGCTGGAGACGTTGTTGGCCCCAGGATCTTGGCATCGCTCGCACGTGTGCATTTCTCCTTCGGCGAGGGCCATCGAGGAGCATCCTTGATCAGTTGGCGAAAAAGCCACGCACGACACCGAAAAAAAGCACAGGGAACGGACGTCCGAGCGATGGCCCAGGGATGGGCTCGGCGGCACGAGCTGGCCTTCGGGCACAAAGCGGCAGCTGCCAATGGGAGCGCCGCGCGGCCCTCGCGTTGCTCTCGAAGCGCCTGCGCGACATCGCATTACTATGCTCAACCGCCACCAGAAGTCCTCCTCCTCCGGAGGAGGAGGAGGAGCGGCGCCCGTAACGGCGTCTGGACCAAGGTCAGCGAAGCGCA